CATTTATTTTTAAAAGATACGTAACAATGCTAAAAGATAAAAATGACTTTCTCATTATAATAAACGAAATGAATTTTCATTTTCTTTACCATTTGTGTCAAAATTCATGGGCATGTTCTTAAATACCATTTTCAGTAAAATCACTGTTTTTCAACCAACTGAAGTACAATATGTATGCTATAAGTTCACTCCATTTTGATAAAAATTAAACTACCAAAATGGAATATCAACTTAGAGCAGCGGTTCTCAACCTGTGGGTCGCGACCCCTTTGGGAGTCGAACGACCCTTTCACAGGGGTCGCCTAAATACATCCTGCATATCAGGTATTTACATTACAATTCATAACAGTAGCAAAATTACAGTTATGAAGTAGCAATGAAAATAATTTTATGGTTGGGGGTCACAACATGAGGAACTGTTTTAAAGGGTCACGGCATTAGGAAGGTTGAGAACCACTGACTTAGAGTTAGCTAGCCGGTGACACTATCCTATATAATCCTATATAAGAAAGAGCTAATATGCTAATTAGACCAGACGGCGGAACTACCTTCAGGAATGACCGGTGGGCAGGGCCACGGGGCCACAAGGCAGCTGGGGCCGCGAGGACCGAGCCCCTTGCACAAACTCGTGCACTGGGCCTCTAGTTTTTAACATAAAGCATCAGGTCACTACAATGTAGCTTTTTACTATGTCCCAGTGGACCTTCAGAGTAACACTCCTTGACTCATAGGGCTAAACATAATTATTTGAAATAAATAATTCTATATAACATTTCCCAAATCTAACAGACAAGCTGTCCTTTAGGCTCAGTGTTTCTGCACATTCAGAATACCTAATTCAATGCTGAAATATCAAGTATTGATTGAAACTATAGAAAAGATGTAGAGGAAATCCAATATGGAATACTAACACTAATAAAACCTAATTATATTATAAATGAATACCTAACTATATTATAAATGAAGGAGGCTGAGAAGAAAAGAACTACAAAAACGGTATTGTGACTAGATGTCACAGTTGGTACAAGTTGAAAAACAATCCTATATACTAAAAGCATAGTATGCAAATTGTCCCCTTAACAGAGAATTTGTCTAGGAGTTCGAACAGGGGGCAGGGCCAGCCGGGGGAAGGGAGGGAGTACCCAGCCAGTAGTCACTAGGGACTCTAACAGTGCACGAATTTCGTGCACTGGGCCTCTAGTATAAACAATAAAAATACTATATTTTAATCTGCAGGATAAATGTATTTCCTTGAGTCCATACTCATACATTTTTAAAATTATTAAATAAACAGGGGAGAAGGGATAGCTCTTCCTTATAAAAGAATTCCAAGAACAAATGTAGAAAGAGGAAAATACAAACTCGCCATACAACATCAGAGTAATAATGGCCGCAGGTAAGATCCACTGATAGATGCTGTATTAGTGGGCAAAAGTTTGAGAAAAAAACAAATTTTCATAGGCTCAAATATCTCCCCCGAGATATTTATTAACCACAAAGGGAAAAGTAATAACTTCACAGTGTTAACAGACACCACCTTAAGCAAGTGATTAAGGTCAACATTTTGAACCACCATTTCAGCGGTATTCTTGTATAAACTGTATATCCTCAGTCCAATCATACAAAAGATCAGATAAATCCAACTGAGGAACATTTGACAAAATGCAAGCAATACTGTTTAAAAATATCAAACTTACAGACTGCAGAAGACTAAGGAGAAATAACAAGTAAATGTAATGTGGGATCCTAGATAAAATCATCAACAGAAAAAATACTTAGTGGAAAAACTGATGAAATTCAAATAAGGTCTACAGTTTAATTCATAATATTGTGCTAATGATACTTTCCTGGTTCTGATAACTGTATGGCTATATAAGATGTTGACATTAGGGGTAGGTAGGTGAGGAACACATGGAAACTCTGTACTATTTTTGCAACTTTGCTGTAAGTGTAAAGTCAGTAAAATATAGTTTTTAAAACTACAGAAAACATAGATTTACTACAAAGATGACAGGAAAAGAACTTGGTGTGACATAAATATTTAAGAGTATTTACTGTTCACTAGCTTTACAGAGCTTAACTTAAAATGTTAGCATTTTTAAGATATGTAACTTTTAAATTTTAAACTTCTGCATCACTAATAAATAGGGCTTTTTTTTCATAGTATGGTTTGTGACATAAACTACCAAAGGTCAGCAACATACTATGAATTATTCTGTGGAAGACAAGAGAGGAAACATAGAAACACAGCAAGATACGGTATCTGAATTTGTACAAGGTGAACACATGTCCCAGCTAACTAAACTATAATGGTGGCTACAAGAGAACTCAAAGCCTACTGATGTCCCACATCCCTGTTCTTTAGGGTCAGCCTCAGTCAAGCCAACTACAGTGGGGCCTTGACTTACGAGTTTAATTCGTTCTGAGACCGAGCTCGTTAAGGAGCTCATGAAGGAGCTCGTTAACTCAAATTACTCTATCAACTCAATGCAAAAAAATCGGCAGAGAGACAGCTGGTATCTCAAAAAACTCGTTAGTCGGGACACTCTTAAGTGAAGGCCCCACTATACTTATCTAAAGTCTGCTGGCTAAGTGTGTATAATGTAAGCAAATGTGACCAGAAACTCTGCTTTTATAGACACCTGTGATCTTAGCCACTTCTGAAGAGACTCCCATCTTTCCCTCCAGGCTCATCCAACTTACTCTTCCATTCTGATTATCTTGCTTACTTTAGAGAAGGAGCTCCTAGGAGCCAGCCCTCTTCTGTAATTTCTATTTACCCCAAGTTAAAGACAGGGGTGTGCCTCCTCTCAAGCACTCCTGTTTTGACAAATCTATACCTGCTGGTGAGACAGCCATGGAACTCTGAGAGGGTCTCTACGGCCTTAAAGCTTCTGATGCAAAGCTCAACATCTTAGGGACAAGACGAATCCTTTTCAGGGAAATGAATCCTTCTCCCAAGGCCAACTACTCAAGGAAAGAAGTGAAATTTAGCATCCAAGCAAGCAGTCTGACTTGGATATGTAATTCATAAAACTGCCAGCAGCATGATCCAGCTTATCTATTCAACATGTGGATGCCTCTTTTCCAAAACGACTTAGAAAACAAGAAAAAATGTCTACCATATATAGCACAGAACCCTCTAGCACAGTGGTTCTCAACCTTCCTAATGCCGCGACCCTTTAATACAGTTCCTCATCTTGTGGTGACCCCCAACCATAAAATTATTTTCATTACTACTTCATAACTGTAATTTTGTTACTGTTATAAATCATAATGTAAATATCTGATAAGCAGGATGTATTTTCATTGTTACAAATTGAACATAATTAAAGCATAGTGATTAATCACAAAAACAATATGTATTATGTATGTGTTTTCTGATGGTCTTAGGCAACACCTGTGAAAGGGTCGTTCGACCCCCAAAGGAGTTGCGACCGACAGGTCGAGAACCGCTGCTCTAGCACATTTACACAAATGGTAAACACATTTTTAAAATATCAAATATTATTTAGGCTATCCGATATAAGATTCCATTAGTTATGTAGAATAACTCAACACAGACAATTATTTTTCATCCTCTAGATCAGCGGTTCTCCACCTGTGGGTTTCGACCCCATTGGGGGTTGAATGACCCTTTCACAGGGGTCGCCTAAGACCATCAGAAAACACATATATAATTACATATTGCTTTTGTAATTAATCACTATGCTTTAATTATGTTCAATTAGTAACAATGAAAATACATCCTGCATATCAGATATTTACATTACGATTCATAACAGTAGCAAAATTACAGTTATGAAGTAGCAACGAAAATAATTTTATGGTTGGGGGTCACCACAAGATGAGGAACTGTATTAAAGGGTCGCGGCATTAGGAAGGTTGAGAACCACTGCTCTAGATTCTTCTAATTAAGGGGAAAAACACCTTCAAACACCTAATTGTTTCACCCTATGTTCCTTATTTTTTTATCCTACTTATTGGTTTTTAAAAATCCTATATAATAAAGAGGGAATATGCTAATTGACCATCATGCCCTCACAAGATGGCAGCGCCCACAGCCACAAGATGGTGGCACCCAGTCCCCTCAACCCCACCAAGGGCCTCGAGTCCTCCTGCACCCCCCACTGACTGAGGCTCAGGCAAGCAAGGCCAGCCGAGGCACAGGCAAACCTCAGATGGTGGCTGCCCAGCCGCCCAGGACTAGCCCGAGGCACAGGCAAGCCTCGGATTTTTATGAAATTTTTATAGTACAGCATTCTGAAAACAGCATTCTTAAAAACCCAACCACCCATGGTCAGCCTGAGGCTCAGGTAACCAGGGCCGGCCGAGGCTTGCGCTGCCAGCAGTGGCAGCAGCAGAGGTGTGATGGGGGCGTCACCTTCCCCTGATCGCCGGGTCATCTCCTGCCCCTGAGGGCTCCCGGACTGTGAGAGGGGGCAGGCCAGGCGGAGGAACGCTCCCCCTACCGGGCCTCTAGTAATAAATATTGGTTTCATGTAGCCATATAAGGACCTCATAGTATAATCCTCCTATGCATTTTATAAGAAAAGTTTTCTGAAAAAATGCTTTGGATTAAAAAATGGTGACAGCAATTATGTCAAATCAAGCATATCATAACAACAATCTACCTTTATGAAGTTCTAACTTTTTCCTCCATACTAGGTAAACACTCTAAATGTAACCAAATGATTAATTTGCAATGATAACTAGGCATTTCACCTTCTATATTATGTTCTAGAACAGGGGTGGGCAAACTTTTTGACTCGAGGGCCACAATGGGTTCTTAAACTGGACCGGAGGGCCGGAACAAAAGCATGGATGGAGTGTTTGTGTGAACTAATATAAATTCAAAGTAAACATCATTACATAAAAGGGTACGGTCTTTTTTTTTTTTTTTAGTGTTATTCATTTCAAACGGGCCGGATCCAGCCCGAGGGCCGTAGTTTGCCCACAGCTGTTCTAGAATCTAGTTACAAAAAGTCCAGTTCACTTACCGAATTAGCAATGGCATGAATGACTCTAGAAAATCCCACAGCATCATTCAGTTCTTCCTAATTTAAAACAAACAAACAAAAAATTACTCACTTAGTATATTCCTATATTTGCATGGGTTAAACCCTGGCCCAAAAAAGCACTGAAATTTTATAGTGAGTTAGCTTTAGTTTCACCTGCTTTGCATCTATCATCCCTAACAATAGCATCTGAAATGATTTATGCTATTCCTTTATTCTGTTTTAGAAAGTGGAATGAGCAGGTGGCCAATTATTCATTAGTTACTAAAATAACAGTGCCTAGGGCCTACCATCACTTCACATCACTTGTTGCATTTTCCAAGTCTATCAAGCCATCTTAAAAACACAAACTTTTAAAAGCTGCCACCTGCTGGCCAAATTCAATACTGCATTAAATTTTTAGGACATCCATCCAGCAGTCAACAGATCAAAACAGCATTCCCATAATCCTTTTTTTAAAATGTTTTTATTGATTTCAGAGAGAGGAGGGGAGAGGGAGGGAAACATCAATGATGAGAGAAAAATCACTGATTGGCTACTTTCTGCACACCCCCTACTGGGGATCGAGCTGGCAAGCCCGGCATGTGCCCTGACCTGGAATCTAACTGTGACCTCCAGGTTCATGGGTCGATGCTTAACCATTGGCCAGGCTCTCATTTCTTGATTTTGTTCCTTGTCGAAAGCATTTTTATAAAATTTTTATAGTATAGCATTCTGAAACTCATCCCCACTCAGTTTCTTCTTTCCTATTTCCTTCCCAACAGTGTTTAACCCTTTGAGTGCCAACCAATATCCTAGGAACTACGCTAAAATTGCCAAGGCATTTTTGCTGATTTTACAGCAGTTTAGGAAAAAAATTATGAATCGCAAGTAAATGAAGTTACATATTCAAAAACTTAAGGAAACTTTACTACATTGACATATTTAGTGATATCATCATCACTAATAAAAGCAGACTTAGAACTGGGCGCCATTTCGAAACTTTGATAGTGCTCCTGGCACTTTTGGCGAAAGACAGGAGGAGCGCAATCGCGCTCCCCGACACTCTAGGGATTAAATAGGCTCCATTTCTCTCCTATCTTAAAACCCCTTCCTTAACTCTAAGCTCCATGCAACTTCTTACTCTCCCTTCTTCTTATCTCTTTACATATAAATTACTTTAAAGACTTTCCTCCACTAACTAGCTCCAGTTTAACTCCCAGGTACTTGCAGCCTTCTACTCTCTGGCATCACCTCAATGAAATTGCTCACCTCTTTAAATGACTCCCAAAGGTAACTAGTTTACTAGTAAGGAGGTGGAGAAATTGGAACACTTGTGACCTGTTGGTGGGAATGTAAAGTGGTATAGTCACTATGGAAGACAATATGGCAGTTCCTCAAAAAATTAAACATAGAATTTCCATTTGATCCAAAAATTCCACTTCTGGGTATATACACCAAAGGACTCGTCCAGCCGGTGTGGTTCAGTGGTTGAGCATCGACCTGTGAACCAGTAGGTAAGGGTTCAATTCCTAGCCAGGGGCACATGCCAAGGTGGGGGCTCAATCCCCAGTGAGCGGCATGAAGGAGGCAGCTGACCAATAAATCTCTCATCATTGCTGTTTCTAACTCTCTGTCCCTCTCCCTTCATCTGTGAAATCAATAAAAATATTTTTTTAATAAAAGAAAGCAAGAACTCAGAAATACTTGTACACCTATGTTCATAGTAGCATTATTCACAAGAACAAAAAGGTTGAAGCAACCCAAGTGTTCATCGACAAATGAATAAAGAAAATGTGATGAATAGATAAAGAAAATGTGGTATACAAATGCGATATTATTGAGCCTCAAAAAGAAAGGAATTCTGATATACACTATAAAACAGATGAACCTTGAGGACTTTATGCTAAGTGAAATAAGACAGTAATACTGTATAATTCCACTTATATGAGGTACCTAGAGTAGTCAAATTCAGAGACAGAAAGTACCTGGAGCTGGTAAGAGGGAGAAATGGGGAGTTATTGTTTAATGGGTACAGAATTTCAGTTTTGCAGGATGAAAAGACTTCTGGAGATGGATGTGCTGATGGTTACACAACAATCTGAATGTATGTAACACTATGGAATTGTACAATTAAAAATAGTTAAGGTGGTAAATTTTGTGTTATTTTACCACAATGAAAGTACAACATTTTTAAAGAATATTTTAAAAATAAAAACAATTCCCAAGACTAAACCCAATGACCACATCCTTACCCTTCTCTAGAGTATCAGCCACTGTTGAATCCCATTCTTCAAACACTCCCTTCCCTTGGCTGCTGTGTCACAATAATCTCCTGGTGCATTTTTCTACTTCCATCATTTAAATGCTGGTGGTCTTCAGAATCCTACATTAAGTCCTCTTCTCATTCCTCCTACACACTGTAGGTGCTCTAATCCAGTCCCAGTCTCTCTGCCAACAACAATCAAGTCTAGCCCTCACCTCTGTCCTATGCTCCAGAATGACAACTCTGCCTACAGGACACCTACCCTTGGATGTCCCAAAGACCCTGGTGACCCTACACATATCCAAATAGGCCACACAGGCAAAGGCGTGAGCTGCAAGTAATCTGCATCTTGGTGAAACATCCCAGGAAGAAAGGATGGGAGGCAGAAGCTTGCAAGGAGCTGCTAATATGCCATCTCCCACCCACCTCCCTCTCTGTCCCAGGAGGCTGAGATAGTTTCTCACTGCCTCCCAGATTCTGATGAGGCCTGGGACTTTCTGCCCCACCACCACCACCACCACCACCCTACCCTTGTCAGAAGAGAGTTGCAGAATATAAAAGCACTTGGCTGCAATCGAGAATTGGCTCCTTAATAATGAGGTATCCACAATTCATGTTACAGCTATCTGGCCCCTTTTTTTTTCAGTGTTGTCTTTTTGTGTGTGGAAACAAGGACCACGTGCAGCTGGCACCTTTGGCTGATCTTCCTTCTCTATGTAAGTAATAAAACATCTTAATCTAAAGATGGCTTGTTGTGTCTTTACTGGTTGAATCAGTCAGATGTGGCCCTATCTTACATATCTGTCAGTTTGACATGCACCCATACGCAAAAACCCTACTCCACCTGTGTCCCCCCCACCAACATCTGTCAGGCCAACTCCACGTAAGTGAACTGGCATCAGTCTACCCAGTTGCTCAAATGTCAAACTTGAGCATCAGCATCTTCCTTCTCTCTTCCTCTTTCACCACCCACATCCCATCACAAATTCCACTGATTCTACCTTCTAAATATCTCCAGATTTCATCTAAACTACTACTAACTATCCTATTCCAGATCACTGGTATCTCTTAGCTATGTTACTCCACAGCTTAATAGGCCGCCCTGCCTCTAGTCTTTCTCAAATCCATTCTCCAGATAGCAACTAAGATGATGTTCCAACAACACAAATATGGCCATAACACCCTAATCTGTCAAATCATATATTCTAAACTTTGTTGTAGTAAAACTAGAAACTTGCTTGAAATCAAGTATTAGTTAACAAGCAATGAAGACCAATGGGACATAATCCGAATGACAATCAAAAACACTTTTTTCAAGACTGCTTCATATAAGGGAAGATTGGTCAACTGTGTCAGACTCACTTTGTTGGCTATGTCTAAATACTTAAGTTCCCTTGTTCTATTCTAGATTTTCCTACCAATGCAATTAATCATTAAATTGAATACAACATATGTCTATAAATATAGAGAAAGTTATTTCCTGTGGGTGTCATTTCTCACCCAAAGGAAATGAATGTAACTCAATTACCTGTTCTTTAGCATGTTTCTGCTGCTCTCTTCTTTTGCGTTCTTCTTCATCTACTTTGCTGACAACTATGTATCGCTCTTTCTAAAAGACATAAAGCCAACATACAATTTTCTGGAAGCAACTTGACCCAAAAAATTCCCAATTCTGCTACCATGAGAAGTAATCCTTTTTATCACTTCATGTCTTTCATGGGCTAAAAACACTGAAAGGATTTTTAAATGCCACAAAAAGTTGAGTTAATGCATTACAAACCAAAATCCTTCTTCTGTGTTTCCATGAAAATTTCCCATGGTTTATTAATCCAACCCAACAGAAGTCAGTTAAAAGTACCAACAGCCCGCCCTAACTGGTTTGGCTCAGTGGATAGAGCATCGGCCTGCAGACTGAAAGGTCCCAGGTTCGATTCCGGTCAAGGGCATGTACCTTGGTTGCGGACACATCCCCAGTAGGGGGTGTGCAGGAGTCAGCTGATCGATGTTTCTCTCTCATCGATGTTTCTAACTCTCCATCCCTCCCCCTTCCTCTCTGTAAAAAAATCAATAAAATATATTTTAAAAAAAAGAAAAATATCAACAGCCCTAGCTGGCTTGGCTCAGTGGATAGAGCATTAGCCTGCAGACTGAAGGGTCCCAGGTTCGATTCTGGTCAAGGGCACATGCCAGGTGGTGGGCTCAATCCCCAGTAGGGGTGTGCAGGAGGCAGCCGATCAATGATTTCCTGTCATCATTGATGTTTCTATCTCTCTCTCCCTCTCCCTTCCTCTCTGAAATCAATAAAAATATATTTTAAAAAAAATAATCAACAGACTGTGAGAATAAGACACTTTTCAAGATAAACACTAAGAAATTACATTGCATCTAAACATGAATTTCTAAAGAGTTAGTTTTAAAATAAAGTTTCTACATCATTTTATGAACATAAAAAAATCCTGGATTTTCTAATAATTTGTCAGATACCATCTTCCCTCATATATTGCATTTTTTATCTATTAAACACATCATAAAACCTCCTATGTCTAAGTTTGAGATTTATCTTCTGGCAAGATTGTTTCTTAATTCACTATATATATATATATATATATATATATATATATATATATATAAAATAGCCTAAGCGACCATCACGAAAGGAAAACCAAATGACCAGTTCTATGACGTACAATGACCACCAGGGATGAGACGCTCAATGCAGGAGCTGCCCCCTGGTGGTCAGTGCACTCCCACAGCCAACCTCCCGTGCCCAGCCAACCTCCCACAGTCCCTCCCCCCAGCTGGCCGGCCCCAATCAGGACTGGACGAGATGGTCCCAATCAGCCCTGATTGCCTACCAGGCCAGAGAACCCCACCCGTGCACGAATTCACGCACCAGGCCTCTAGTCTTTTATATAATTTGACATCCAACTTCAGAGCAACAACTAAATTCTAAAATCCTAAAATTTGGCAAAGGGAACCCATCATCTACACACCATTACCCATCACAGTTCTGTCAGTACACCTTGGGGATACATGACAATACCTATGCATACAATTATGACCTAAATTCTAAACTTTCATTTTGCTTGTCCACATAACAGGAATGCTTTAATTAGAACATGTACTAACATTTGCATGCTTTCAAATTTACAAAGCCTGCTCACTCCCACTGGACCAGCATAAAAAGCATTACAGCCAAAACCGGTTTGGCTCAGTGGATAGAGCGTCGGCCTGCGGACTGAAAGGTCCCAGGTTCGATACCGGTAAAGGGCATGTACCTGGGTTGCGGGCACATCCTCAGTGGGAGATGTGCAGGAGGCGGCTGATCGATGTTTCTCTCTCATCAATGTTTCTAACTCTCTATCTCTCTCCCTTCCTCTCTGTAAAAAATCAATAAAATATATTTTTTAAAAAAGCATTACAAATCAGCATTATTACCATGCTCATGTACAAATGAGGAAAATGAGGCTTAAAACAGTTAAATGACTTGCTAAAGGTCACCCAACTCATAAATAGCAGGGCCAAGAAGAGAATTACAACTTTTGACATATCAATGTACCATTGCATGTGTTTATTAGCCCTGAATAACTTTTGAGGTTACCTTTTCAGTTTCTAAAGTCTCAACATGAATGCCTTTGGGATACCTAAAGAAAAGGAAGAACACATCACATCAGTAGAGGAGAAAATGACAGCAACCACCGTATTTTAAAAGCAACTATATGGCTATAATTTAATTAAATTATTAAATATGAAATAAGTATTACTATGATAAAACCTATTCAACAATTTTTCAGCTGCTAAATGTTCCTCTATTTTTGCTCTTAAACACACAGGAATGTATCTGATTTCAAATTGTTTTAGGGCTTAAGCATTTTCTGAAATGTCTTACATCACATAATACTGCCAACTCATTACCACATAGTCAAATCTTTCTCCCAAATATAATAATGCTTACTTCCTAATTGATTTTGAAGGTCTTTTTAGATTGTATGGGTACACACACAAAAGGTTTGATGTTAATAACCCTGTAGTTTGGCATGGTAGTTTGTACCAGCCAAGAAGAGGGATCTGGAACCCACATGAAGTAAGTTGCAAGGATAATATGAAAGAAAAGGAGCCTGATCAAAGGACAATGACCCATTCCTATTATGTTCAAAGTAAATTTCCAGTACACATGTCACTGACAAATTCTAATGGAAGAATAAGAACCCCAAACAAAGTCAAATGCAAACAGCAAATTGTCTAATACTGATGTGCAATTTTCGGGTTACAGATTCACTTGAAAACAAAATGAAACCAATGGAAACATCCCCAAACAAATACACACACAAAATTTTAGATAATATTTCAGAGGATTCACAGACCTCCTAAAACCCATCCATGATCTAGCCCAGGGGTGGGCAAACTTTTTGACTCGAGGGCCACAATGGGTTCTTAAACTGGACTGGAGGGCCGGAACAAGAGCATAGATGGAGTGTTTGTGTGAACTAATATAAATTAAAAGTAAACATCATTACATAAAAGGGTACGGTCTTTTTTTTTTTTAGTTTTATTCATTTCAAACGGGCCAGATCCGGCCCGCGGGCCGTAGTTTGCCCACGGCTGATCTAACCTCTGCTTTAGAAAAAGAATTAACAACGGCTGGTGTGGTTCAGTGGTTGAGCATCCATCTATGAACCAGGTCACGGTTCGATTCTGGTCAGAGCATATGGCTGGGTTGTGGGCTCAATCCCCAATGTGGGGTGTGCAGGAGGCAACCGATCAGTAATTCTCTCTCATCATTGATGTTTCTATCTCTCTCCCTCTCCCTTCCTCTCTGAAATCAATAAAAATATATTTTAAAAAAAGGATTCAGCTGAGTATTTCTTAAGTCTTAAAACCAAATTTTTATAGTATACTTACAAAGAACAAAAACACTACACTACCCAAAACTTAACAGACTAAAGTCAAAGTAATAATTAAAAGAAATTTTAAAAGGCTTTAAAGCATCTATTATAAAGCCCTGGCTGATGTTTCTCAATAGTTAGAACATCAGACCACACACTAAAGTCACAGGTTCGATTCCCCGTCAAGGGCACATAACTGGGTTGCACATGCATGTGGGAGGCAACCAATATATGTCTCTCTCTCACATTGATGTTTCTCTCTCTTTCTCCTCCTTCCTTCCTCCCTTCCACTCTCTCTAAAAATCAGCAGAAAAAATATCCTCAGGTGAGGATTAACAAAACACACACACACACACACAAAACCATAACATTGCCCTGACATGCTAGCTCAATTAGAGCATTGTCCCAATATGCCAAGGTTGCAGGTCCCCAGTCAGGACACATACAAGAAATCCAAGAAGCAACTAATGAGTGCATAAATAAGTGGAACAACAAATCAATGTTTTTCTCTCCCTCTCTCTAAAATCAATTTTAAAAAAATTTTAAAGCAATAACAAATAAAATTAATTAAGTGGGTATTCAACTTTAAGAAAACAGGGGGATATAGCCTGGCTGGTGTGGCTCAGTATTTGAGCATCAACCCATGAACCAGGTCACAGTTAGATTCCCGGTCAAAGCACATGCCTGGGTTTCAGACACAGTAAGGGGTATGGAGGAAGCAGCAGATTAATGATTCTCTCTCACACTGATGTTTCTATCTCTCTCCTCTTCTCCCTTCCTCTTTCTGAAATCAATAAGAACATATTTAACAAAAAAGAAAGAAAATAGGAGGAAGTAAAATAAAGTGCTACACAATAACTTAAAATGGTCAAATCACCAAGTACAGTAGAATTCTTTAAATTAAATGAGAGCTAAGAGATTATATTTCATTTTTAAATCCTGGGTCCCTCACAGAATTCTTACATATAATATAAACACTTACTTCCAGTTCAAAGTTTGATAAATTAGTTTTCTTTGGAACCTATAAAAACAAAAGAAAAGATATTGGTCTTGGCTTATTAAAAGAAAATCCTAATTGATCAAGCACTGGTAGGGAAAGATATTTAAGTTCTTTAAAAAACTTCAATAAAAGTAATAGGTAATATGCAAACAAAAATGGGCAGGATGCCCAGCAGACATGGCTCAGTGGTTGAACGTTGACCTATGAACCAGGGAGTCAGGGCACATGCCCAGGGTTTGGGCTCAATTCCCAATAGGAGGTGTGCAGGAGGCAGCTGATCAATATTTCTCTATCATCACTAATGTTTGTCTCTCCTTCTCCCTTCCTCTCTGAAATCAATAAAAAATATTTTTGAAAAAACGGGCAGGATGTTTGAGGTGTGAGGATTCCTCACCACTTGCCTTCCTCAAAGTGTTATTTAATATTATTATACTACCTTTAGAGAAGAGGTTGGAGTTCCTGTCTAACCAATGTTTTACTTCCTGTGGCTTATATAGAGTTAAGGTAGGCAGATGCACTTAAATACTTTTGTGAAGCTAGTCACAAAGGAAAAAGTATGATGTTTAAGTTACTGACTCTTTGAAACACTGATTTTTTTTACCACAAAAAAATTAAAAGCATAGAAGTAGTCTGCGAGTAAGTTGTTCTCTTCTGAAGCCTTTATAAATTAAGTACTCCTCGGACTAAAACAATTATGCCACTCAAGCATAACTTTAAACCAAAGTTCCACAATAGTTTTAGCCTCTCCAAGATGGGACAAAGCTTTCAGTGTCTCAATATACTATCACACCCACTATATTAATGTTAAAGTTAGTGCTTAAATCTTGGGAGTATGGCTACAATAAAAACACTATTTATGAAAGTGTTTTTTTGTTTTGTTTTGTCTTTTCTTTCCATTGCTCATTTTACTTATTTTGTTACTGTTGACAGTATTACAGATGTCCCCCAATTTTCCCCCCTTTTACTCCCTTCCTCCCAGGTCCTGCCCCACTCCAGGCCTTTACCACACCATTGTCTGTGTCCATTGGTTATGCATATAGTATGTATGTAATTTCTTCGGTTAATCTCCTCCCATCTCCCCCACCCCTCCCCTCTGAGGCATGTCAATCTGTTCCATGGCTCCATGCCTTTGGACCTATGTTGTTCACCAAGGCCAAATACAGCACATGTCAAAAATCATCTACCTTTCCCCAAAAAGATGTGAAAAGATTCAGGGCAACTAACCCCGTGCATGGGTCTAAGTCCAAGTTCTTATTTTCTTCACTCTGTAACAAATCTTCTATTTTCTCTCTGAGAAATTAAAATAAAAACATGAATGTCAATACCTTTAAGGGACAAAGTCATCAATAAGGCTTAAAGAAAAATAATTTATTCTGGCATATTCTTTATTGTTGTTCTCAATAAATTAATGACAACTCCTCAAGGCTACATCAATATAAATGATTTAAATTTTTACTTTTCTAGTAAAGCAGTTATACTGACGTGTAAACTAAAAAAGTCTAGACACTCCTTCAATGGCACATTGGCTTATCAGAAACTTCACTTTGAACAAAAAACACATGGACATGTTGCAAATATCTGGACGGGCCTGTTTCATTGCTCTGCCTTCAGAGGAACTAGGCAGTGGCTACCAGGCCTTTGCAGAAGGTCTTCACAGTGACATGACAAGTCTAAATATAGTAAACAGAATCCTATTTACAATGTGCTATTGTCACACAAATTCAGATATGCCGTAATTAAATCCTGCCAATCACAACATCACACCTCTGTGAGTACTATGTATGGGCAGCACAGGTTCAAGATGCAGATGTCAGTCCTGCCCCCAATACACATCACACAATGCACAGTTTTGGAACTTACACCACTTGGTCAATAAACTTCTTCTGATCCTCAGGAATCGTCACAGGACACTTGGATGTGTTAGGAGACACATATGATAGAGCTCCTGCACCATTGGACTGTAAACGTTTTTCATCATACTGCTCTCTTAACTGTCTTTCTTCTTCCTGATTTAAATATGGAATTCCTAAACATAGTTTTTAAGAAAAATGTATTAGTAGAAGTAACTTTAACATAAAAATTGTTTAACAAACCAAAGAGCCTAAAATATTCAAGAAAGACCATATTTAACTATATCTAAAAAAAATCAACAGAAAAAGCAAATGATTTTGAAATATGTTTTCTATTCATACACCCCAATTATTTATTCTTTTCAACAAATTTTTATTTGGCACTTAGACGTTATTCCAGGAAATGTATGAGGCACTAGGGAATGTAACAGTGAGCAAAGTAGATGCATCTTGCTGTGTAGTGAATAAAATGACTTTAGCCAGGATGATCAGAGAAGGCCACTATGATTGAGGCCCAAAGCATAAGAATGACTCAGATATGCAAAAAAAAGAAAGAGTATCTCCAGCAGGGAAGTAAATATAAATGTACTGAGGATGGACATGGCATGGACTTTTCCAAAATCAGCAAGGAAGCTGGTGTTGCCAGAACACAAACAGGAGAATGGCATGACACCAGACTGGAGAGAGGATGGAGCAAGGTTACAAGCCACAGTAAAAATTTATTATATTCTAAGAGCAATGGGATGCCAGTAGATTTTAAGCAAGATAATTAAATTACCTTCTTCATGTTTTAAAAAGATCACCTGAAATAGGGAAGTCAGAGATATAAGCAATTGTCCAGGGAAGAGATGATCACTTAGATCAGAGGTGAGTAAACATTTTCTTAGAGACAAATAGTAAATGTTTTAAGTTTGTGGGACATATGGGGGTATCTGCTGCAACTATTCAGCTCTGCTCTTGTGGCACGAAAAGAGTAATACACAATGAGTAAATGAATGGTTACAATCTTATTTACAAAACTAGAGGCCCGGTGCATGGCCTGCAGGGGTTGGGCCGAAACTGGCTCTCCAAAATCCCGAGAGGTCCTGGATTGCAAGAGGACCTCTTGTCAGGCCGAGGGACCCCACTGGTGCACGATTGGGGTGGGGAGGGACCGCAGGAGGGTTCCAGGGTGTGTCCAGCCCATCTCACCCACTCCCGATCAGCCAGACCCCAGCAGCAAGCTAACCTACCAGTCGGAGTGTCTGCCCCTTGGTGGTCAGTGTGCATCATAGCAACTGGTCGAACGGTTGAACAATCAGACACTTAGCATATTAGGCTTTTATTATATAGGACAGGCAGTGGGTCATAATTTGTACCCTGATTGAGACTATAAAAATGGGAAGAATAATTTTAGAGATACAAGAGACAAACCTGCTGATATACTGAAGATGAGGGATAAAGGAAAGAGCAAAATAAAAAATGATGCTATTAAATTTAAGCAATTAGAAGATGATAGTGCCACTTAATGAGGTGGAAGAAAACTAGGCAAATAGGTTTAAGGCTCCAAAGATGAAAACCAAAAGCTACCTCCTGGATATATGAAATCATCAAAGGGTACAGGTGAAAGGTGTTGAGAGAGAAATTTAGATATCATCAGGATAGGTGTGGTTTTAAAAGCCATGGGATACTAACAAACTTTGTAGAAAGAATGATGGAATTAGATCACATCTGTCAACAGATAACACTGCTGAGGTTATTGCCTACATTCATTATGGAAGAAACTGAACTTATCAAATTCAGTTCAAAGTTTAAGAAAATATAGACAGGAATGATGCAGTAGAGAAGAGAAAATAATTCAGAAAAAGAGAAGGGCAAACTGAAGGAGCCAGTGCTTGACAAGGAGACAGGAACTAGCCATTGACAGACACAGGAACTCCTCTTCACTGTAAAGAACAGAAGAAAGAAGCTGGGTCCAGACCTGGGTCTGGTGGTGAGAACTTGCAGCAGCTCTTCTCTGCTTTTTTCTGTTTTCAATGAGAGGCAGGGAGAGAAGTTTGGAGAAAGAGATTGTAAAAAAACAGAGAGCTGGAAAGGGAATTTCTAAGTCAATAAAATAGGATTTTTGAGCATGAATGTTTATTTGAAGCTTGTGATCATGAATTTAAAGTAACAAATTAGCTTAGATGTGCCATGTTTTCCAGCAATATTCAGATGTGCAGAAACAAAGAAGGTGGGCAGTCAGATCCAACCAGTGTTGAGACTTTGTTAGGCAAGTGCAATGGAGGGAGAGGGAAGGAAGGATATGATGGACCATGTGGATAAGGAGGGAAGTCAAGACAGGAGAGTGGAATAGGAGAGTGGAAGGATATTGATAGTGAAAACGCAATGGAGGTCAACAGATTGCTGAAATAAGGTACTGGAGTAAGTGAATGAGAAGAACAGGAGGTAGTGCTCTCAACAAGAAATGTTGGGAGTGGGTGATGAGCCCATGATGCTACCAAGGGAGGTAGAGGCAAGGACTACTGACCACCTGATCAAGAAACCGTAAGACAGAGCATTTGCTGGTCATCCTTGTGGATGCAGAATTCACCCAGAATGAGGAGAGAGGTAGGAGTGGAAAGACAATGAGCCAAAGCCAAAGTTGTTAGTCAATGCTATGCCCAGGAAATCAGCAGAAAGAGGGGTGGCAGAACTGGGCGACAGTCCTGAAAAAAAAACTGTAGCTCCTGAGAAGAGAGAATTCAAGTGGTTTGAAAGTGGCATGGGGAAGCAAGGATACCTACTACTGCCGGGCTGAAGGTATAAAAAGAGAGCTGGGAAAAACCACCTTTGTTTGATGCTTCAGGGAGAACATTAACAAAGAGTCATCTGGTTCCGTTTCATAAAAGGAAGTCAATACACTTCTGACAAAGCTACCAAGAGAAACGGGCCTGGCATTTATAAAGTGTGACTGGAAAGATTTGATAAGGAAGAGAAGTGAAGGTCTATATCAGATTTAGAATACCAACAACAGCATGAAGATAAGAATCCTGGTAATAATAATGACCTGGAGGTCCTGAACCATCTGTGACTAAAATATTCCAAATATTCTGACTATAAAACAATAATAAGAGACACACTCTAATTTGGCTGTTTCTCTCCTTTTATGAAAATAAAACCATCAGGCTGGAAACTATACTACATCCATATGAGTCTGGTTAAAGTAATTCCTTCAAAAGAATTTTGTTCTTATTCCAATATAGTGTTCTAACTACATTTGGAACTTGTATTTTATAATGACTTTCAGTATCAAGTGTGAGCCAAAAGAAAAAAAAAAATTATTTTACATACCCAAATTGTGTTACCCAGTTGGTTTACCCACTATGTTAAGCAGTTTGGTCTCTAAAACTTTTTAATATTTCCAAAAATCAAAATCACCAATAGAAATTATAATACAGCACTACTGAAGCAATTAAAAAACAACATATCAAAAACAGCTACAGCCAGCACCGGTTTGGCTCAGTGGATAGAGCGTCGGCTTGCGGACTCAAGGGTCCCGGGTTCAGTTCCGGTCAAGGGCATGTACGTTGGTTGCGGGCACATCCCCAGTAGGAGGTGTGCAGGAGGCAGCTTATTGATGTTTCTAACTCTCTATTCCTCTCCCTTCCTCTCTGTAAAAAATCAATAAAATATATTTAAAAAAAAACAAAACACAGCTCCAGAGACAGAGAAACATCAATCAGACCTTCAAACCTCAGAGGGAAGGTAGGGGAGGGTGGGAGTAAGGGGGAGAGATCAACCAAAGGACTTGTATGCATGCACATAAGCATAACCAATGGACACAGACACCAGGGGGATGAGGGCATGAGTGTGTGTGTGGCGGGGGAAGGGGGGGAGAGACAATGGCAATGGGGGGATAAGGCACATATGTAATACCTTAATCAATAAAGAAAGAAAAAAAAAACATAGCATGAGTTCCAAAGGCCTCCCAGGAAGACCACACTGAGAGGAAGTAAATTTATTCGAAGTCTATGTTCTAGTACTTTCGGTAAAAAAATCTCCTTCCTCACCTTACTCAATAATTCTACATTCACCCTGGAAAAGAATACAATCTAGGAAAATAATTACAGTAAAAGCAGTTATTGACCTTACCAGCAGCAGGTGCTTAATAATGCTGATAAAAACCAAAGGTTTTCCAAACACTGTTCGGGAAATGAATGGAGGAAGAAAAGACACTCTTGTATGCTCTAATATCAGACATGCACTCATTAGATATTTAATGGTCACTTCCCCCTGATGAAGAAGAGGAATCATGCTATGCACCAAGAGCATGGAATGAGACACAGTCCCTTTCCTCAGAGTGGTCAGCAGCCTATCACACCAGCAAGTTAGCCATCATGATAGTACATGATAGACTTTTTTTTCTCCCATGAGAAATAGAGAAACCATCTCTAATTATAAAACAAACACCAATAGGAAAAGGGAGTTTTTCATTACAGGATTACTAAAATACAGCTACTTTTTAAAGTACTACACCATACCACTTGTCTCACTGAAAGGTAACAGGAAAGCATTCCCCACCGATTTTAGATAAGTCACACAGAATAAATTATGAATAACTATGTCATACTATGTTATTAACTATGTATAAGTAGTCAATTCATAGAATAAACTATGAGTAAGCTCTACTCATAAAATCAGGAGATTGAGAGGCTTCATTAGAGCCAGTAAAGTAGTGTCTACTCTCCTGTTCAGTTCATGCTTAACTAGGTTTAGGGGGGGAAAGGCACAATAAAAGTTTCAAAAACTTGCCCTGGCCGTAGTTAGAGCATCGACCCAGGGCCAGAAGGGTGACGAGTTCAATTCCTGGTCAAGGACACATATTTCAGTTGCAGGTTCCCTAGCCGCAGTAGAGGCCCAATCAATGTGTCTCTCTCACATTAATTCCTCTCTCTCTCTCTCTCTCTCTCTCTCTCTCTCTCTCTCTCTCTCTCTCTCTCTCTCTCCCCCTCCTTCCTCCCTTTCACTCTCTCTGGAAATCGATGGGAAAAATATCCTCAGGTAAGGATTAAAAAATAAACAAACAAACAAACAAACAAACAAATAAATAAATAAAAACTGTAAGCTTAAGAAACCAGGAAAACTAGTGGTATAATTTTTTTAAATATATTTAATTGATTTTTTTACAGAGAGGAAGGGAGAGGGATAGAGAGTTAGAAACATCAATGAGAAACACCCATCAGCTGCCTCCTGCACACCCCCAACTGGGGATGTGCCCGCAACCAAGGTACATACCCTTGACCGGAATCGAACCTGGGACCCTTCAGTCTGCAGGCCGGCGCTCTAACCACTGAGCCAAACTGGTTAGGGTGGTATAATTTTTTTTTAAGTTAAAAAAAAAAACTTTTTTAAAACTATGTGATATACTGGAAATCTGAGATTCTGTATCAGAAAGCAAGCACAAAAAGATAATTCTCAACCAAATCCACATTTTCAAGTTCTAAAGATAAGTCACAGATAATCTTACCATTGCGGAAAACTTTATTGAAATCAAATCCTTGGCTTGCTAAAAAGTCAATGCTTGAGCTCTGAAACAAGAGTAAACAAGACATACATTTCAGTGATTTTAATGTCAGGTATGTAAACAGAAGTGGGGAAGTAACTCAGGTGAGTAAACATAGGCAACCAGGCAAGGAAACATGTCAAAAGTCAGAAGTCAAGGGATTTCTACTCCCAGGCTGCCAAACAATCCATTAATTGACTTAAACTATCCAGGCTCTGCTCCTTTATAACTTACTAGTGTCCCAGTGCACAGATTCATGCACATTGAAAGGAAATTAATTAGAAGAAATACTTTAATATCATTATTCACCCTTTCTCTATAATAGAAGTCACCACAGCTCAGCATTAAACCAGATTCAGGGCCATCAGTGCCCAAGCAACAACATAACCCATGGCCGAAGGTAGAATGGCATGATCCCGGAAGGAATCGAGCTCCCTCCTCTCTGGTTCCAGAGTGTGTCACCGGAGAAACATTGCTGCCAAGTCACCACAGTTCGACAGCTCCTGCATTGAGCGCCTGCTCCCTGGTGGTCAGTGTGTGTCATATGTACCGGCCAGTTGGACGCTCTGACAGTCGCTTAGCCTTTTATCTACATACTAGAGGCCCAGTGCACAAAAATTTGTGCACTCGGGGGTCTCTCAGCCCGGCCTGTGCCCTTTCGCAGTTTGGGACCCCTCGGGCGTGACCACTTGCTGGCTTAGGCCTGCTCCCCGGGGGATTGGGTCTAAGATGGCAATCAGACATTCCTCTGGCAGCCCAGCAGCCCTCGGGGGATGTCCACTTGCCAGCGGGGAGCAGACCTAAGCTGCAGTCAGACATCCCTAGCGCTGCTGAGGAGGCAGGAGAGGCTCCCACCACCACTGCTGTACTGGCAGCCATCAGCCTGGCTTGTAGCTGAGCAGAGCTCCCCCGTGAGAGCACACTGACCACCAGAGGGCAGCTCCAGCATTGAGCATCTGCCCCCTGGTGGTCAGTGTGTGACATAGTGATCAGTCATTCCCAGTCTTTCTGCTGTTAGGGTCAGTTTGCATATTACCCTTTTACTATATAGGATAGAGGCCTGGTGCACAGGTGGGGGCCGGCTGGTTTGCTCTGAAGGGTGTCCTGGATCAGGGTGGGGATCCTGCTTGGGTGCCTGGCCAGCCTGGGTGAGGGGCTGATGGCTGTTTGCAGCTGGTCACATCCCCTTCAGGGTGGGGGTCCCGCTTCGGTGTCTGGCCAGCCTGGATGAGGGGATGGTGGCTGTTTGCAGCTGGTCACACCCCCTTCAGGGTAGGGGTCCCCACTGGGGTGCCTGGCCAGTCTGGGTGAGGGGCTGAGGGCCATTTTCAGGCTGGCGGGTGACTGAAGCTCCCAGCCTCTTCTTTTTCTTTTAATTCTGGGATTTATTTACCTTCTATAGCTGTCACTGGAGCTGAGAGCTGGCTCCAGCTCTGAGGCCATGGCTGGTTGAAAGCAGGTATCTGGATTTGTTTAGCTTCTATAATTGAAACTCTGTTACCATCACTGGCGCTCTAAGCTCTGAGCCCACTGCGGCTGAAAGCAGGTACCTGGGGTTTGTTTAGCTTCTATAATTGCAAAATTGTTGCACCCGGAGCTCAGAGCTGGGCTGAGGCAGGCGGGGAACCTTAGCTTCCTCCATCACTGGAGCAAGCAAGCCTCATGTTCGCTTCAGCTGCGTGGCTGCCGGCCGCCATCTTTGTTGGCAGTTAATTTGCATATCCTGCTGATTAGCCCATGGGAAGCGTAGCGGAGGTATGGTTAATTACCATGTTTGTCTATTATTAGATAGGATAAAACAAATATTCTTTGTTTCACAATATTTAAGAAAACTACTTGGTGAACATATATACGCCAATAGGCAGAAAACTCCTGATCACTGTACTAAGAGACTATAAGTAGAAATAAAATATATTTATACTATCTCACCCCAGGTTCAACTTTAAGGTAGCTCAAATGTGCAGGTTATAAGACATCACTATCCACTTCAAATTACCATTGAGATTCTGAAAACCCAAAATCTAGACTGGATGTTCTTTACATTCAAAATCAAAATAGATAAAAATTCCCAGTAACAAGATATTCAACAAACATCTGAAACCTAGGGTGAGTTGAAATATTTAAGTAAATTTAAATAAAAACATTAAATAATATTATACAATGTACATAAGAATGGCAGAAATCACAAAGTTCTTACTCAAACTGACTGAAGAGTAGGAATCATTACTGTAGCTACTCTTATTTTATTCCTGTCTTAAGTCTAAATTGAAAGGGCAATGCAATTGAATCATTTTAATCTGATCCCTCACAGAACTACCTTTCCTGAACTGTACTTTGACATTGTACCCTCAGTCCGACTGTCTTACTGTCCCATTAAATGCATTACAGTATTTACTTGAGAGATATGGTTAAAGACTAGGCTTTCTACACTAATGATTTCTTTATGATAATGGAAGAAGAAATGTTCTGAGGTCTCTAATTTGAGAAAAGCCAAATTTCTCTTGATCCTGGTTTGTTTAGATCCTATGGCCACAAATTGTGTGTTTCCCCTTTTCTTAGCTGGTAGGAAGCTCAGAGACAAAGAGTGGAAACATTCTTTGTCACAAATTCTGTGTCCTAATCATACCATAGTAATCATATCTGCATTTTTCTTTTCTTCCAATTTTTCACTTACTTTGTTAAAATGTAAATAATACATGTATCTTTATCAGCCAACACAAATTCTTTTTCAAATTTGGTGGATTATAAAAAGACAATCTTAACCCCCCCTGCCCCCCAACACACACACTTACGTACATGTACATCATTTTCCATCATGTGCAAGTTTTCTATGGTTTAAAACAAGCAATCTTAAAAAATAAAAAATAGAAAAAAACACACACATACAAGCAATCTTTCCCCTGACGTTTTCCTGTTCTGAACCAAAACCCAATAATTTCTGACTTGAGCCACAAGCCTCCTTCTGTCTCCCATGCCTGTATAGTCTTCTAATTCTGTCTATCTATATATTCCATCCCCGACAGAGACACCAAAAGATGGACTATGGAAAGGCATTTTTGTCCCTCTAGTCACTAGACTCTAAAAGATCTTAACTTCCTTCTCTTTAAAAATCCTGAGTGCCTCACACGGGGGAGGCAGGATAGGAACAGCCCACAGAGATACCACCACCCTTCATGCCTTCTTCCCTGACATCATGCTCCAGATCCTGGTGGGATTTCCTTTTGGCAAAGTGGTTGAAATGTACTAGATATGGCTCAGAATTATGACATGCCAAACCTGGATAAAAAACTTGATTAAAAAGGACATGGATGCCAAGAAGAAACCCCCTAGTTCATGAGACCAACTCCAGCACTGACTCCAAGAAATCCTGACTCTACTCTTCTCCAGGGCCTCCTTTACACCTGAACCAAAGCTTCTGTCTCCAGTCTCAGCCTTTGCTTTGAGCACAAATGGGGCCACAAGTTAAGAACTGTCCTTACTTTCCAAACATCTTCACCTCTTCCCTTCCTCCTTTAGCAGCCTGGGAGGTCCTAAGACTAGAATTATGGTATTAGATTAGTAAATATGACCTTTACTTAAAAAATATTCCAGTCACCCTGGCCAGTGTGGCTCAGTTGTTTGGAGAGTTGTCCCATACACCAATGCCTCTCTCTCTCTCTCTCTCTCTCTCTCTCTCTCTCTCTCGCTCTCGCTCTATCCCTCCCTTCCTCTAAGAATATATTTAAAAAAAAAAAAAGATGCAGTCAAAGATGCACCTATTCCATTTCTGAAGCTATACGTTTTCCACCCAAACAACACCCTTTAAGTTGCGCAATGATGTAAATGGAACTGGCTGTAAATGATGTAAATGATGTAAATGGCTGGCATGGCTCAATGGTTGAGTGTCAACCTATGAACCAGGAGGTCAACAGTTCTATTCCCAGTCACATACCTGGGGTTTCAGGCTTCATTCCCAGTGGGGGCCTGCAGGAGGCATCAGATCAATGATTCTCATCATAGATGTTTCTCTCACTCTCTCCCTCTCCCTTCCTCTCTGAAATCAATAAAAATATATTATTAAAAAAAACACTATGGTTTATTTGATAATTTAACAAAACAGATTACAAGCCCTGGCCAGTATGGTTCAGCTGATTTAGTGTCATCCCTTGTGCACCAAAAGGTTGCTGGTCCAATTCCTGGTCAGGGCACATGCCTGGGTTTCGGGCTCATCCACGTTAGGGGGCGTGCAGGAGGCAGGAAATCAATGTTTTGCTCTCCCATTAATGTTTCTCTTTCCCTCTCCCTTACTCTCACTAAAAATCAATTTTCAAAATAAGTTTCTAATCCTCACCCCAGGATATTTTCCCATTGATTTTTTAAAGAGCGTAGAAGAGAGAAGGAAAGACAGATAGAAATACCCATGTGAGAGAAACACATCGATTGGTTGCCTCCTGCATGCACCCCATGGGCCCAAGCCAGGGAGGAGCATACAACTGAGGTACATGCCCTTGACCAGAATCAAACCTGGGACCCTTCCGTCCGCAGGCCAGTGCTCTATCCACTGAGCCAAACCGGCTAGGGCTTTAAAAAAAATTTTTTTAAACAGGTTACACAACTAAAATTACCTTCACCTTTTCTCTTCATCCCCAGGCATACCTGAGATTAACTCTCAATTTTATTTGCTTATATCCTGCCTTATTATAGAAAGAATTTGACATGACTCAGTCACTCAGAAGCCTACCCTTCAGGCTTTCTTAACTGCATTACTACTTACAAACAGGAGAAAGGAAAGTTGAAAAGACACAAATGAACTTATGTTCCTACTGGAAGAGAAGCCAGGGCACAGTATTGTAAAGGGGAAAAGATTAACACTTATCTTTAATCACATATTTACACACTATCCCACTTATTCACGTTCTCCTTATCCATTATAACAGATTAAGAGGAAAGAAAAAGGAAACTGATATTTAGTAAGTGTCTACCAGCTCAGCTCCCACACCATAAAAGGGATGTGCTAAGGGAGAATCTCCCATATGCTTACCTTGGCTCATAAGTAAGCCCTCTCCTCCTCAGGAGGAAACAACAGTTTTTTCCACGCTCCCTTTCTAATTGATGAACTTGGAAAAAGGAACTAAGGGTCTCGAGTTTAGCACTCTGCTCTTCCAGAAAATAAAGCTCTACCCTGGGAGGTGGGTGCAAAAAGAATGAGGTGGGAAGAAGCCTGCAGGTCCTGAGCTGTGAGTTTAATTGAGGTGTAAGATATCAAAAATCCCAAAAAGAGCCACATTATAAAGGCAAGTTCTCAAGCCCATAATCTGGCTACACTTGGAACACTTCATGCAGTTCTCAAAGTTTTGAGAACTTTATGCAATTCTCAACATCTTACTAATAATAAAGCTCGTGTTCTGACTTCCATCTATCTGTCACTTGCATCTTACTCCATAATTCATTTCAAAGTAAAGGGTAAGACAGCAGTGCAATTAATTTAGAACCCTAAAATTGAAGGTCAGATATAGTGTACAGATGATATCTTGTGGAACTGTGCACCTAAAACTTGTGTATTATTTTGTGAACCAGTGTCACACCAATCTATATATATATATATATATAAAAAGCCAGCGACCGGGAAACCATAACGAACAGAACGACCATCGCTATGACACCCACTGCAGCCAGCGAACTGGCCAATCTGGGGGTGGGGCTGGCCGGCCAACCTCCCGCAGCCCCTCCCCTGGCCAGCCTCGCCCCTGATGGGCCCCCACCACCTTGATTGGCCCATAGCTCCTCCCCGTGGCCAACCCCACCCCTGCTAGCCCCCGCCCCAACTGCAATAGGGGGCAGAGCCAACCAGCCAACCACCTGTGGCCCCTCCCCCCGCCAGCCCCACCCCTCGGCCGATCGGCCCACAGCCCCTCCGTCCAGCCAGCTCCACCCCCGATCACCCCGCCACCCCAATCATGGGTGGGGCCCTACAGCCAATCACCTGCGGCCCCTCCCCCTAGCTGGACAGGCCCCGATCCACCCCAACTGGGGCCGGCAGACACCACCCATGCATGAATTTGTGCACTGGGCCTCTAGTAAATTCAATAAAAAGGAAAAATTAAAACATAAAATAAATAAATAGAACTGAAGGTCAGAGATGAAATAGTTTTCCCAAAGCTCAAAGTTAGTGGCAGAACCAAATTTTAAAGAGAATTCTGATTCCACATATCCCCACAGACTCATCAGCAATTTATAACAGAAAAGAAAACTTAATTATGTTACTAACCTGACAAACAAATTTGACATCTGGTGAGGATCTATTGAAGGGTTTCGGGAAAACATAGAAGTTAAATGACTTTATTATATACCTGGGAAAATAAGATATACAAGGAGATTTAGGGTGTTACATTATGCCACAACAAAAGCATTCCCACCACTTGTTAAAACAACCTACTTTGAATGTATGCAGTCATACTTAAAAGCGCAAAGGCCAAACTGAAACAGCAAAAAGTCCATGGAATGCTGGAAAAGAGAAATAAAACATCTGTCAAAACAATGCTGTATATTTTATGTAAGCAACAGTATTCTCAATCAGGTGGGCTTTCTAATTACTCAATTTGACTTTGGCAGAATACTTCTGATTAGAAAAGATTACAGATTATGTATTAGAAGCATTATTAATTTATATACATCTCTTAATGTTCTTCCCAATTAGACACCTATCCACCATCCAGAGCATCATATTAGGCCTATTTCCAAATTATTAAAATAACCACATCATACTTCCTATAAATCAAATTAACACTGAAAATACTAAACCTTCTCCGAACATGTTTTCCAGCAAACAATTATTTTTGCTGTTGTTTGAAACAACACTAAAATATCGTTTCATAGCTCGGGTTGAGAAATCAATGTGCAAGTTTAATGATTATATTTCTCTATAATTCAATGTAAGGAGGACCAACATGGGGGAGGGACGTTTCTAGCACATCCACTTACCTTTTTGAGCTTCTGGTACCTCTCTTCCGGAGTGTCAAAACCATTTGTTAATGTGGTGACTGAAGGTCCATCACTGATTCCTAGATTTTAAGAAATAAAAGCTTTTAACTTGTTAGTAAATACTAATGTAAAAATGTCAGTCAACTACTCAATGGCTCTGTAATTTTATATTCTCATGTATTACAAAGTGCTTCTCACTTCACTCTTTCAAAATTAGCATTCATTTCACTGGCCACCAAGCTAAACGCTATAACACATTTAGAAATGTTAGTGTTTCTATTTCAGAATCAGCAGTTCCAGTGTCTAAAATAGGTTTCAAAACACAGGAATAATTTAAGAAAACAATATCTATGATTAAGTTTTGCTGCTTTCAAAAGTTTAACGCATAATCAGATATCAACAAATTCTGAAGTCTATTATTGTTAGAGTCCCAGTCTTGGCCAACAGTTTTAAGTAACATCTATACAACAAAGGTATTTTCCAGGTCAAAAGAAAATTATTTCTGGTGAAAACTCTTAGCTTCCCAGAGAATTGAGTCCAACTAGAAAAGGCATGTATGTATAATTAAAGCCAACGATCTACAGGGTGTCCACCAAAAATGTATACACACTTTGAGATTACAAAGTCAGTATTTATTAGCATACAGTTCATTTTCAAAATTTCAAAGAATCAATAGAAACAAGTGTGTATACATTTCTGGGGAACACCCTGTATTTACTCCCAGCATGGATTCCTTTAGAAAGAGCTGAAGAGTTTTTCAAACATGTAAAATCAGAGTGAAAGTGGATATCTACACCAAAGAAAGTCTACTGTTCGTATTAACTTTAACAATTTAAAAATTAATCTCTAAAAAAAAATAATTAATCTCTGATCCAAAAAGAAAAAACCCTTGCAATTGTACGTGTTGGTAAAGTATTATACACACATACACACCCACGCCAAGGTAGGCAATGAACACTTCCACAAATGCATAAAGCCTGACCCAGAAGTCAGTCACAAAGGACAATCATTGTATGATTCCGTTTACAGGCAGTGCCTCGAGCAGTCAAATTCAGAGACAGACACAGTGGTTGCCAGAGGCAGGGGAGGAGGGAAGGGGAAAAAGTTCAGGAGATGGATGGTGGAGATGGTTGCACAAAAATGTGAACGGACTTAATGCCACTGAACTATTTTTAAATGGCTAAAATGGTCAATTTTATGTTATGTATTTACCTCACACACACACACACACACACACACACACACACACACACACAAAGAGCCTGACCCTAACCCGGAAGCAGCACCAAAACCATATTCTACCCGCAACCCTCAGAGCCCCAACCATCCAAAACCCGCTTCCCTGCCTTTGAAACGAGTAAGAGGAAATGCTGAGGCTCGTGGAACTTCTCCAAGGCTACAAACAGGGGGAAGGGGCCAGCGAGCGGAAGGCAGGGCAGGGTGTCAGGAGGAGCCCTGGCCCGCGCTGCAGGGGGCTGGCCGCGAGCCTGCAAGGAGGGATACCTGAGAACTCCCCATCGATGGCAAAGAAGTCCGCCTCCTCTATGGCCTGGTACACTTTGTGAAGATGACTCTTAAAATCTGCGGAGAAACCGAGAAGCTCAGAACGGGGGGCTTGGCTTTCTGCCCACACACGCCTAAGGGGAGAGGGGAGGAGGACCCATGAGCTCCTAAGACCTGGGGCCCGAGGACAAGTGTACGGGGGGGGGGGGGGGGGGGGGGGGGTGCAGAAATGCAGGGAACCTAGAGCGTCCAGGCCCTAAGGAGCACATGGGCCGGAAAGGGACAAGCACTGAGGGTGTACGGACCAGGGAGGAGCAAGGCCCTGAGGGTGCCCGCAGGAGAGCAAGGCCCCGAGGGGGGCACGGGCCAGAGAGAGACAAGCGCCCGAAGGACACGCAGGCTTAGGAGGGGGCACACTCGGGAGAGGCTGCCTCAGCCCCAGGCCCCACCAAACGGATTGGCGGGCCGTGATCCGGGCCTAAAAGACCGAATGAGGGGGACCGTGGGGAAGCGGGGAGGTGCACGGCCGACACGCACTGCTCCTGATTATCTCCATCCCGTAGGGTGCCCGGAAGCCGGGCCGCCCGGGCCGCCTCGGCCGTTCTACTCGCGGAGTTCCGCAGCGACGGCAGCGGCGGCTGAGGTACCAGCTACAGAGATCGCAGCGGCGATTTCCGGGAACAGCGCGCGCCGGCGCGCAGTCACGTGCGCTAGCGTCACGGTAGGGGCGGGGCCAAGGCTGGGCTTCCCTCACTCCTTCCAGGGACAGAGGAGGCGCGTGGCTATCGAAGTCCCTAGCCTTAGGCGATCTAACTTAGGAGGCCAGGTCGTGGGGCGTTCTCTTTGGAAGAAATATGCATACCGTGACATCCAATCAAGGAACAAATGTTTCCTGGGTTCCTATTATATTCCAGGCACTCTGTAAGGAATGCGGATACAGTGATGAACAGAAGACAAGGTCCCTGGCCCCACTGGAGCTTAACTTGGGGGAAGAGGGGAAAGTCAAGCAGGAATCAAACTTGCCACTTGGAAGCATGATAATCTTTTTGAAGAGAAAGAGCAGGATGATACAATAATAATAATAATAATGTGAGAGAGTGTTATTTAAAAAGGTAATGAGGACCCAGCCAGTGTTGCTCAGTGATTGAGTTTGGACATATGAACAGAAGTTCCCGGTTCTATTCCAGTGAGGGCACATGCCTGGGTTGTGGTCTGGATCCCCAGTAGAAGGCCTGCAGGGGGCAGCAGATCAGTGATTCTCTCTCATCACTGATATTTCCATCTCTCTCTCCCTTCCTTTCTGAAATCAATAGAAATAAATTTTTAGCGGCCTGGGAACTGAAGGGCCTGGGGACTGAAGGGTCCCGGGTGCCATTCCAGTCAAGGACACATGCCCGGTTGGGGGCTCAATCCCCAGTAAGGGGCCTGGGGGAGGCAGCTGATCTATAATACTTTCTCAACATTGATGTTTCTATCTCTTCCTCTCCCTTCCTCTCTGAAACCAATAAAAATCTATTTTGAAAATATATACGTGTGTTTTTAATTTAAAAACACTTGTGTATCAAAGGACACTATCCAACAAGGTGAAATGGCAACCCATGCATGGAATGGGAGAAAATATTTGCAAATCATATATCTAATAAAGGGTTAATATCCATAACATATAAAGAATTCCTACAACTCAGCAACTCAAAAACAAACAATCCTATTACAAAATGTACAAAGGACTTGAATAAATATTTATCCAAAGAAGATATACAAATGGCCAACAAGCACATGAAAAGATGATCAATGTCATTAATGCAAATCAAAATCACAATGAGTTACCATTTCATATCCATTTTTTGAGAAATTAGAACTTCCTGCACTGCTGGTGGGGATGGAAAATAGTGCAGTCACTATGGTCGTTCTTAAAAAATTAAAAATAGAATTATATGATGCAGCAATTCCACTTCTGGGTATACACCAACAGAATTGAAAGCGGAGGTTTTTGAACTTCACAAAAAAATACCCTATGTAAAGTACACTGCGGACTTGTAATATTATTTTAATTTCTGGGTAAATCTATTTGCTAATCCATTTATTAGCAGCATTTTTCACCATAGCCAAAAGGTGGAAACATCCCAACTGTCCATCAACAGATGAATAAGCAAAATGTGGCATGTACATACAGTGGAATACTATTCAGCCTTTAAAAAGAAGGAAATTCTGCCCGGGCTGGATTGCTCAGTTGGTTGGTGTGTCGTCCTGTACACCAAAGGTTGTAGGTTCAATTCATTTATGCTAAGTCAGTCATAATAAAGCCAGTCATAATAAAATACTGTACAATTCCAATTATATGTGGTACCTGGAGTAGTCAGATCCATAGACATAGAAAGTAGATGGTGGTTACCAGAGGCTGGGGGCAGGGGATCATGAGTAGGTGTTAAATGGATATGGAATTTCAGTTTGGGAAGACGAAAAAAATCCTGAAAATGGATGGTAATGATGGTTGCATAACACTGTGAATATACTTGATGCCACTGAACTGTACACTTAAAAACAGAAAAAAATGGTAACTTTTATATTATGTATATCTTACCACACACACACATGCTGACACCTATTACCAGATTATCCTCCAGAAAATGAGTTCACACACTTCCGGCACTGACACAGGTCATTACCAAATCTGTTTACTCTTTGCCAATTTCATAGGTAGAAGTCATCCAAATGACCAATTTAACAATCTCCAGACCATCCATTTAAAACAGATTAACTCAGCATGAATTCTCATCGTATCAAGAAGCTCGAAGAAACAAAGTGGTAAAGTCATTTTAATTCCGATTCTTAATACTGTAAATGGAACTTTAGGCATGGTGCTCTGATTTTCTGCATAGAAATGTGAATGCAAAAAAAAAACACCTATGTGAAGTACACTGCAGACTTGTAATATTAGTTTAATTTCTGTGTAAATTTAATTTGCTCCAGACTCAGAAACAGCAGCCAGGCTGGAGGGAACACACATACAGGAACCTTAAACTTAGGGTGTTACGCACTGCCCCTTCGGGGTCCCTGAAGAGGAAGGGGCGGGGCCGATGTTGCTACGCATGCGTCGAGCTCCTCGGCGGGGAGTGGCCGCTCTAGGCAGCGGGGAGGTCGCGGGGTGGGGGAGCTGGGAAACAACTGCGACCTTTCCTCTATGGTCGGAGCCCCGGGCACCTTCCCTGGCGTCTTAGGTTACTTCCGGAAGTGAAGCTGCCACCTCCTCTACTTCCGCGGGGTCCAGCCTGGGGCAGCGGACGGGTGGGCCCCGGCTTGAGCGCAGTGGTAAGCAGCCGCGCGGCGGGTGATAGCGAGAGGGCGACCCAGGCTCGAATGCGGGGCGGCGTGTACAGAACCGGCGTGGGGTTCGAGGTCCGAGGAGGCGCGCGGGGCTTTCCTTATCCAGGCCCGAGTTCTGAGCAACCTCAGCCCTGGCCTTGAGGCGCAGACCCCCCTCTTGGCCAACTTCCCCCGTCCCTTCCCGGGAGCCCTACGTCGACATGGCGGGTCGGCGGGCCTCGCTGGTGTCCCCTCGAGGGTCAGCATCAGCCTGTCGCTCCGGCATCTCCCCAGGGCGAGAAGGAGGGGGCGTCGCTTCCACGATGAAGGGGGACGACTGGCGTCCCCGAGGAGCACCTGCCGCAGCCTGCGCCAATACGATCAGAATGTATTAGGCTCCTGATAAATGCCAGGCTGGGCTTCAGGTCTAATTGGCGAGGCACTAACCTGCCACAAAACGGGACGATTGCTCCCGTTTTAAAATGGGATAACGGGCGCGCAGAAAGGCGAAAGTGAAATCGCACAGTCACACTGGGGATGGGCTAGGCTAGAACCAGCTCTGTGGTTCCGCACTTACGGGCAGAAATCTGAACTTGTGCAAAAGGGAATTTTATTTTATTTTTTTAAATAGGCAAATGAGATTCAGGCTGTGTGTCTAACGGAATCTTTGGCCGGCAGGGCCTGTCAGTGCCCCAGGCGGCTGCCCTCCTACTTTGGTGAAGAGAAGTGAGTCAATAGCTGTTGTGCCCTCAAAGCCCATTGGTTAGTCCATTGGGGGTTGCCTTTATGTCACACTCTGAAAGGCCAATGGGAAGGAGGTTTACTCCCCCTTCCAGCCCCCCAAGGCACACCCCAGAGTCCTTTCCGAGCGCACGTGCGTAGTGAATTGTTTGGTTTGTTTTTGTTATGGCTGTTTTGTTTCCTGCCTAACTCCATAAACTTGATAAAATACTGTTTCTCCAATTCTATGTTCTTTCTTTCCTCTTTTTTTTTTTTTTTTTTTTTTTAAAAAAAAGCTCTAGTGCTTGGTGCTGGCACTACTTATATAGCTGGCACTCAGTAAGTACAACTATTAATAATTTTAATACCTATGGACCATACAGTAGTTTCTATGGTTAGAAGTTATCACTTAAGCCTCCTTCAGAGTATATGTGTGTATATATATATATATATATATATATTTTAATATATTTATTTTATTTTAGAGAGGCAGGGAAAGGGAGAGAGATAGAAACATCAATGATGAGAGAATCATTGATTGGCTGCCACCTGCACATCCCCACCTGGGATCGAGCTGCAACCTGGGCACGTGCCCTTGACTGGAATCAAACTGGGGACCCCTCAGTCCGCAGGCCGACACTCTATCCATTGAGCCAAACCAGCCAGGGCCAGAGTATATATTATTATCCTGAACTTATAAATGGGAAATTAGAGGCTCAGGGAGAATAAATGAGACCTGCTTTGGAACCCAGGTCTCTCTCATTCTGGAGACTATACTGACTGCACTATACCAGCTTCTCCAGGGAAATTACAGTCTTTGAGATGAGGAAACATGCACAAATAAAAGTTACTGGTATATTAATGCACAGAACAGGAAGGGTTAATGGGGGGGAATATAGTCATTAAAGATGTTCAAATAAAAAGTTAATTTGGGTCTTGTCAGCTGGACACTTGACTCAGATGGTGTGGAGCTGTGTTACAGATGGAGGGAACAGGAAAATGAGCAAGGAGCAGGAATTAATATGTGGGACTAGAGTATGAATAGGTGCATAGTAGGGGATAATCACAATAATAATAATAATAATAGTTAACACTTAAATTGCACTAACTATGTGCCAGGCACTATTCTCAGTGCTGTGCACATGTTAATTCCTTTAATCAACAATCAATCAGGAAGATACTAGAATATCCCCATTTTACAGATGAGGAAACAGGAACAAAGGCGAAGCGATTTGCCTGAGGTCACACAACGAATAATTGGTGGAGCTGGCTTGAGGAAAGGAAGGGCTTGGTCAGAACTGTGTTTCAGGAGGATGGTGGGCCGTGGTGAGTGGAGGGACTAGAGCAGCCGTGGGCAAACTACGGTCCACAGGCCGGATCCGACCCATTTGAAATGAATAAAACTAAAAAAAAAAAAAGACCGTACCCTTTTATGTAATGATGTTTACTTTGAATTTATATTAGTTCACACAAACACTCCATCCATGCTCTTGTTCCGGCCCTCCGGTCCAGTTTAAGAACCCATTGTGGCCCTCGAGTCAAACAGTTTGCCCACCCCTGGACTAGAGAGAGGAGCACATGAGATTAGCAGTGTTACTGAAACTATTCTGTTCATACCTTACCCATATGTTGTCTGAAACATATATTTAGGGCATATAAATGTTTTTTGTACAGGCCTACATCAGAAATATTTTGGGTTTGGTTTTGGTTCCAAGCCTCCTCAATAAAGCAAGTATCACAATAAAGCAAGTTGTAATCTTTTTGCTGGTAAAGGGTCCTGCCTTTAATTTTTAAAATTGCAACATCTGTGAATGGCAATAAATAGAAGCACAATAAAAGGCGATGTTCCTGTACAGAACAGCTGTGTAGTTACCAAACTTCTGTGTGCACACGAATCTCTCCTGAGCGGCTTGTTTAACATGTGCATTCCTGAGCCTCCCGCCCAGATATTCTTTGGTGATATCTTCTTTCCCAGATATCTTCAAACTTCCCAGGTGATTCTGATGGAGGATCTAGGAAATTACTGTGATAGGGAGTCAATTTTTGTTGATTTGATTTTCATTTACAAATTTCTGGAGCCCAGCTTTGTGCCTGCAACTCAGGGGTGATGATGGAATTCTATCAGTTGGTTTCTGACCTCAGGATTTGGTCAAAGAGGCAAAGACTACTCAAACAGTAATGTGCAAAAGGTGTCAGAGCAAGCTAAACCTGAAAAGGACATGTCAGTTTTTAATATGTGAATCATAATAGAATCGCTTATAAACAGCAGTTATAAGTATAGTTTACTGGTACTTACCAGTCATTTTTTGATAACTTTCTGAGTTATTGTATTTCTACAGCATTTAATACAGGATAGGTCATTGAATATGTGCTGTGTAACAGAAAAGAAAGAGGACAGTCTCTAGAGAGAGCCAGGACACCCTTCTCAGTGTGCTCTTTCTTCTTGCTCAACACCACTCATAGGCAGTAAATCACGGGTGCAAAAGTTCAGGCAGCAAGTCAACATCCAGTGAGCTACTAGCTACCTTTGTCCTAGTGATTTCTGACCTCATCCAGAAAGAAGATCTATTTGGAGCCAGAAAAACACAAGGTTCTGTATGCTAAGAGCCTGGAAATGCTTCTCTTGTAAAGGCTTCTCTTAATGAAAGCCAGTTTTTGCCACCTGCCAGACGTGCACGTAAGTCTCTCTCTCTTTTTTAAATATATTTTATTGATTTTTCACAGAGCGGAAGGGAGAGGGATAGAGAGTTAGAAACATCGATGAGAGAGGAACATCGATCAGCTGCCTCCTGCACACCCCCTACTGGGGATGTGCCCGCAACCAAGGTACATGCCCTTGGCCGGAATCGAACCTGGGACCTTTCAGTCCGCAGGCCGACCCTCTACTCACCGAGCCAAACCGGTTAGGGCAACACGTAAGTCTCTTTTATTGCCATTGTTGACTCTTGCCCTGCTTACATTTGGGCACTTTTGTTTTTAATTTCATAGTCACTAGAAATGCGTAGTCACTCTTTGAACATTTACTAAAGTCTGTAGTATTTGGGTAGTGTTTATAGTGATGTCCCCAGAGGTGGACTTGGGTGCCAGAAATGGGGTGCTCCCAACCACCCTCACCCCTATTTCTTTTTCCTTTTTTTAAAGATTTTTAATTGATTTTTAGAGAGAGAGGAAGGGAGAAGGAGAGAGAAACATCGTGACAGTGAAATATCAATTTGCTGCCCCCTGCATGACCCTACTGGGAATTGAACCAGCAACTTTTCAGTGCTTAGGACAACACCCAACCAACTGAGCCACCCCAGCCAGGGCCTCACCCCTATTTCTACTGTGAATGTTTGCTTATTTATCTCCTAGACAGCATACTCACTTTAGGAGTCACATGTGAGAGTTCATGTTTCAAAATGCAGTGTTGTTAGATTTTAGTTTGTTTTCACTAGTTTGGACTTCTCAGCTTTGCAATAGCAGCTCTCTGATGTGGCCTTGGTAATAAAGCAGCAACTCAGTCCTTTGAACTAATAACTGTTATTGATTACATTATTGGGATAATGTAGTGTTATGAGGACAAGCTTTTAAGTCAGACCAGGATTTGGGCCTCCATTTTCTTGTCTATAAAATAGAGATGATAGTAATAATTATCCCTTGGGATTCTTATACCTTTCACATTTAAGGGCTTGGTAAATGTTAGCAATTGTCAATATTCTCTGATGTCAGGTAATGTGTATTGAGAAGAAATGGTCTAATTAGAGGCCCACATAAAGCCAAAATATTTTTATTCTTGTAGTGAACAACTCTGCTAAGAAATGATTGAGATCATAATTTTCAGGCTAGAATCCCTATAAATTTGCCCTTCAAAGAATTATTCCTAAAGCATTAGGTATGTACTCTAATCACAATAAGCGTCTTGTTGAATGAAGAGGTAGAACTATAATTATATACCACTGAACAAAGCAGTTTGAAGATTATGATCTCTTAGAGTAGTGGTCGGCAAACTCATTAGTCAACAAAGCCAAATATCAACAGTACAACGATTGAAATTTCTTTTGAGAGCCAAATTTTTTAAACTTAAACTATATAGGTAGGTACATTGTTATTAACTTAATTAGGGTACTCCTAAGGCTTAGGAAGAGCCACACTCAAGGGGCCAAAGAGCTGCATGTGGCTCGCAAGCCGCAGTTTGCCAACCACAGTCTTAGAGAATTAATAATCATTACATAATGAATCTTTATAAGCTAAGGTGTAAAAATTCTTAACTTGAACTCAGAATTAATGCATTCTTTTTTTATAAACTC